AGTTAAATATTTTGAATCAAACTAAAATTATACAATAAAAAATATTGTAGCAAAAGTAGACAATACACACAATCTTATTTCGTATTTTCATAAATATTAATCTACATATGTATGTATAAACATACATATTTACATACAAATTCAAAGCAACATAATAATTAAATTCTGAATGTAACTAAAACTTATTTTTAATAGTAAAAATTAAGCCAAAAAAAAATATGTTTGTATGAATGTATGTATATATTTTCTTAACTGTCTATTTAAAATATCGAAATTCCGTTGCTACTTCCTTAAATGGGGGGAAATGTACACTTCAAGGTCATTTAATTTTTTTTTTTCATATTCTGCTTTCAAAAAATTTTTGTTTAATTTGCAGCAGTTTCATACCTACATATTAATATCTAGTTTCAATTTAAATTTTTTTCTTTCTAAAATGTCATTATACATACACATATACATATGTATGTATGTGTACATATGTGCATTTGTTTGTTTATGTTTACAAATGTAAATAAAATTTCTACATAAATAATATAGGTATGTATGCCTGTATCTATTTAATTTTATATAGGTAATAAGTATGTGCAGTACCGATCAAAATTTATTGAGTGAAATCTGAAACACACTATGTTCTAATTGTATGACACTTTACTAATCAAAGTAGTTATCACAACTTGTCACAACAATACATAGAAAACCGGGAACGAATCCATAGATATGCTTAAAAAATTGTCTGCAAATAAATGAAATAGTGTTAAATCTAAGCTTCAAAATAAATAGTTTGACCAATACATAGTCTTGTTCAGGCTCTCCAAACATCTTGCATTTTTGTCCGCTCATGTACATATCTAATTTCCATATATACGTATTAACGTATGTATGTATAAACTCTTAAACTCTTACAAACATAGATAATTATTAATTATCAATTGCCATATAGGCACAAGCTTTTTTTCCATAATACCTATAATATGGCAGGCACTTCATATATAACGGAGTATAGAATACATACATAAGTATATAAAATTAGCTAGTGAATCCATATATGTATGTACTTAAGTAAATGCAAAAGCGCATATATGTATGTATTTATGTAAATGTTAAATACGTAGTAAAATTACCTATGCAGAGCTTTATTTTAGTGGTTTTCATGCTTGATATAATTTTATTGTTTCAAATTCATATTTTTTTATTTTAATTATTTATTAATTTTTTTTTATTACGATTTTTATTAAATACTAGATGCATATCATAGTACATATTTATTTATTTTTCGATGAAGGTAATGAAAAAAAATAATTTGTAAAAAACACTTGTTTGATTCACTCAACAAACAATATATCGAATCATGTACTTATTTGTGCTACATGCAAATACATACATACTTCCATAATGTACATTTTGGGTATAAGTAGCATTCTATAATATAATTTTGTGTTACATAAAATTCTTAAAATTTAATACATTTTATTGTGGTTTGATTATTTTCTACTAGTTAATCTTAGTATATAATTTTAAGATATCATGATTCGAAAATAACATGTACACATAAGTATATAAATATACTCATATGTATATTGTATGTATGTATGTATGTAAATTATAAGAAAAGGGAAAATACATATCTTAAATATCTTTCTTAAATTTGGTCTGAAATTGTACAATAAATCTCAACCCACCACACCACCCCACCCTTATTCTACACGTCCGCTTCCCTTGTTCGTCTTTTTACTTAACTTATCGACATTAAGTGCAAAATGTTAGCGAAAATATCTAATAATAATCAAATTGCTTTACTTATTTTCAAATAACAATTTTCATTTTTCTTCAAATTGTGGAAAGTTTGACACACTACATAATATGTATGTATGTCAAAATATACTTCAAAGTTTTCAACATCATTTTCCAATTTTTCAATCTAAAATATTGACAATACAACCTCTTTTAGCAATCAATAGTCTATGTATTAAAAATATATTTTATTTCGGAAGCACACGATCAATTGTGTCATAAAATTATTATAAGAATTTCATACCGATTAATTGTTCCATCCATACATATTTTTTTTCGAAAATAATTGTCTATTGGCAAAAACCCCTTCATACACCGTGTTTTAAGTTTTGTAATTTCGTTTTAATCATTTTCATCACGTGCATACTTTTATTATTTAATTTACTCAAATTAAAAAAGTTTATTAATTTAATTCTTCTAATGTCAATACGACACCACTACTAATATGTCATTTAATTTTGTCATAATTATGAATTATAAATTAATTAAAAAGTGGAAGTTCCTATACTTGAATTGATGTAATTTATGTGTGTGCGTGTATACATACGTATGTATATATATGTAAATTAATTCTAGGTACTTTATTTTATAAATTAATTTTCAATATAAATTATGTACATATTTACTATGTAAATTATATTCCTAAAAAGAAAATTAAAAATGACAACCGAAATTTATATGAAAAACGCAACATTATAAAGAAATTTACCCGCCACACAGTAAAGTCTAACTTAAGTTGCTCTTAAAAATATAAAACAAATATTATATTCTATACATAATATAAAAAAGATCTCCTTATGACGGTTCAAGTAATGTTAAACATACAATCGAAATCATTTTAATAAAAAAAATTAATTGCAAAATATTAAAAATATTTTGACATATTTGACATTTAAAAACATTATATGCATAATATATTCATTAACATATTATATAAACCCAATTTCATGCAAACTTCATAAAAATTAAAAAAATGTTGGTTATATACAAGCAATACGGGACTTTAAAATATTTAGTTGTGTTCCAAAATGAAAAATATTTCTCTTGGTTTCACTGTTATTAAGCTTTGAAAGAGTTCATCCAAATATGCATGAATGTATGTATGTTGAAATCGTGCTAATCGTGCACACAACATCTATGTTTGTATATATCTAGGTACACATGTATGTTAGCTTCGAAACTAGTACATAATAAATTGAGAAAAAACTTAAAAACAGTTATGAAAACTAGTAATATAAACTCGTTTTATTAATAGAAATCATGAAGTAATTTTATTTTATAGGTAAGTAAATATTGTACGAAAATAAAAAAAATAATTAACTATCAAAGGAAAATATAGAAGAAGAAGACCTTGAAAGCCGTAGGGAGGGTTACAAAGAAGAAATACAAGTAATAAATACAAAAACTACCTTTCATTTTTCTTTTCATTTAATTTTGATATTTATTTCATAGACTGAAATTAATAACGAACTTTGTTTTCTGAAGGTGTTTTGTAGGTAGGTTATGTTGTGTTAAATGTGTTGGAAAATAAAACTATACAAATATGTATATGTAAACACACTCGGTTATGTGTATGTATATGTAAGTGATGTAGAGCAAAGAATGTTATAATTATTGCAACAAACATTGAAATAAATAAGGTGATAAATGATTGATGGAAATTATTTATTTGGTTGTTGCTCGCATACAAAATAAATTCGAATAAAGAAGTTACAATAGTATGTGCTTAGGTGCTTTGAATTTATGTAAAATTAAAAAGTACAAAAAATATACAATACATACATAAGAGAAGAAAAAATAAAAAATGAAAGAAAATAATGAAAACATCAAGCAGTAAGTTAAAATTATTTGAGCACGAATATTTTAATGTAAGTTTTTCTTTTCTTTGTGTATATTTGTTTGCAGGGTTATTGACTTGACAGGCCCCTTTTCCTGTCATTTTTTATTTATTTTTCTTTTATTTTTTGTATAGTTTTGTACTTTTAGGTTTTTTTTTATTTAGGTATCAATAATTTATGGTAGGTAGTTTTATTGTTTCACTTTCCACGTTTTTTTATGTAAAAAAAATTTTTTAATTTATCATTGATGAAGGTTTCTTGTATAAATTAATTAAAATGTCAAAAATGAAAAAACTTTAAATGTTTAAAAATTAAAGTATATATGTAAAGAAGTGATATCTATAACATTTCCTGTTTTCCCATCTAATGCATACACGAATAAGTTCAAGTTTTCATGTACCGTAGTCCGGCTCATAATTGTCCAATTGAGAAACGCTTAAAATTGAGAAATATTTGGATTCTCAAAATCTAATCTATTTACTTATGTATAAGATTTTGATTTGATTATATATTAAATTAATTTTATGCGTTTGTATAGTTGTTAAAATTATTCACACTGCAAAATGCATGTATTATTAATATATTTTTTCTATCAAAATTTTAGCGTATAATATATATAGCTCTTTTATCAACTAAAAATAGGAATGAACAAAGGACAGGAATAAAAGTAATAAATTCCCAAAGTTTCTCGACATATACATATGTATGTTCATATATAAATTCTTGGGGGCCATAAATAGCAATCATTTGCTACTAATGCCATAAGTAAATACTTTACACTGCTATACAAGTTATTGTCATTTTATGTCATTCAACTAACATGCAAGAGTAAATAAATTCAAATTAAGATCGGACCACAAGTGATACACATAGTTGATTACTGCAATAGAAAAACTTGTGTTTCCACTTTTTCTTAATAAACGTTAAAGTTATTGTTATTATTATCTCTTACGTTATGTAGTCCAAAAAAATAATGTCGTTAATTCTAAATCTATTTAAAATTTTATATAAAATTTCAGTCAAAAAATTCATAATATAATTTTAATATGTATTTAAAAAAAAACCCGAAATTATACTGAAAAATACAAAAATAAAATCGTAAAAAATTTTTTTATATTTTTATAAAATTTAAATAAATAATATATATATATATATATTAAATATTTCCCGTTAGATTCGTTTTATATGTCATATACAAACTGTCAAAATGACTTATTCCCTGTTATATAAACACATATTGTATGTATAACTTTGAAAGCACTTGAGTATACGCTCATATAAATTTTATATAAAGAATACAGGAAGTATAAAAAGTATCTACTTACATATTATATATTTTTTCATATAACATAACCTCACATTTATACTTACGTGCACATTTACAGCACAGATGATTAAAGATTATTATATATTTTCTTTATTTAAGATGAAAATCACTGATATCCAAAATAAATTAAGAGCAAGCAAGTGAATAAGAATTTTACATAAATGGTTCTTTTTATCGCTGTATTTAATTTTTTAAGAAAAGAAAAAAAAACACTTTATTTTGTCGATTTTACAATTTAAAAAAAAAAATTTTTTTTCTTCGTTAATGTTTTTCAAAATTTTATTTTATGTACACGCGTATATGAATGTATAAAAATAGAATCTAGGTTATTATTATTTTCTTCTTTTTTTTATTTCTTTTTTTTTAATTAAAATATACTTATATTTTAAATATTTTCAAAAATAAAATAATAATTGTGAGAATATTTTTTTTTTTGTTTTAAATAATCGCATTTTCCTCCATTTTCAAGTAGAAAATAAAAGAAATAAATAATTTAAAACAATTTTAAAACGCTTAAATACTTTTATTAATAAATTATGAATTTTAAAATTAATTTAATTTTCGAGATTTTCACAATTTTCTTCAAAATTAGCACTCAAAAAAAAAAATTTTTTTTGCTTTAAAATATTTTGTGGTTAATACCAAGATTTTCAATTTTAATTTTGATTTTTTTGGTTTAACAGTTGATCTGTTATTTTTTCTTCGATATTTAACAATTTTATTTTGATTTTAATTTAAAATAAAAAAAATATTATTTTCAACTTTGGTTGTGAACTTAAATGACACATAGTTGATTTTTGTCAAAAATGACAATAATAAAGAAATTTTCCAGAATAAAAAATGAAAAAAAAAAAAGAAAAATTTCACGTTTTTTTTTTTAATTTTTGTTTTTTAGAATATTTTTTTTTTTATTTGCCATTTGGAAAATTTCTTTTCATATTGAGAATAAATGACATTATTCACCCACCACCGTTTACACAAAAATTAAAAACGCGATTTTTTTTTTGTTTTATAAAAATTTCGAAAATTAATATTTGAATTTTTAATATTTTTATTATTTAACTTGCAGTACTTTTATGCATTTTGTTGATATTTTTCGGGTACAGGAAATAAAAAAATTAAAAAAAAAAAAAAAAAACACAAACACAAATTAATTTTACATATCTTAATTTTTTTTTTTTGTTTTTAAAATATTTTTAAAGGAAAGAAAAAAAATTTTGTTCGTTGCTACCTACTTTAACCAGGGCCAAACCAACAAAAATTTTGTACGACAAATCCTCAATTTCTCGCCAAGACTTTTTCAAGTTTAAAAATAAATTTCAATGGTAATAAAAAATAAAAAAAGCAAAACATATAATTTTCTTTTTCCTATTTAATTCTTTTAAATAGAGAAAGACAAAAACAGAAAAAAAAAAAAATTTAAAAAGATTTTCAAGTGAAAAAAAAAAAAAAATGTTTCATTTTTGCTCTAAATTTTTCTTTAATATTTTTTTTACTCTCTCAATTTATTTAAAATTTATAATTTAATGAATAATAAAAAAAATATTTTTTTTTCTCAAATATATATAAGATTGTCATCATCAACATCATCTGTCGAATTCAAAACAAAAAAAAAAATCTTTAAAATTTTAAAAAGAGAAAAAAAAAATTAATAATTTACTGTAAAAACCAAAAAAAAAAAAACTATATAAAGAAAAAACAAAAAAAAAATTAAAGGTTATTAAAAATTTATTGTGGAATTTTAAGAGAGCGATTTTTTTATATACACATACATCATACATTAAGTCCATATACTAAGTACGGTTATTTCCATCACTTTACAGTTACAATGTCAAATAAATTGTTAAATATAAACATAATTATAATTTCAAGTCAAAATACAATAAGACATTCTACACTATTCAAATGAAAATAAACTTGTTTTTTATGTCAAAAATTAAAATTTGACATATTACATAACCTAGAAATATTTTTAAGAAGTTTTCTTTCAATGTGTCAAATATAATTAATATTATTTTTGTAGGAAAATAAAATTACAAAGTAAAAAAGAAGTTAAAATTTTTTTGCATTCTTAATTATTGATTGCATAAATTTAATTAGTAGATAATATATTTATTGTATTTTTCTCAGATTGTTATTTGTGTATAAAGAATTTGATTGAAATTGTGGTACGTTCATATGAACATACATACATAAGAGTATCAGATCTGACATTTAGATTTCGAATGATTGTTCGAAAATTAAATTTGATTTCGGAAAATTACATAAAGTTTATCACAAACATTTTTCACTTTTGAATTCCAACCCCGCAGATTCTGAAAAACAAGACTAATTTTTAAAATAAATTAAAAGTTGTTTACGTTATACATATATATAAATTTTATTATAGACATATGTATATATGGTTATACATAGAATAATTATAAACCTCATATATATAAACAAATATACATTTTATATAAAACGAAAATTCGTGTAATCGGTTTTTTTCTTTTTCAAACTAACAAAAAAAAATTTAGCCTAAATAGCTCAAATGCTTTAGAAAACATTCAACTTTTAATATAAAAATATTCATATATTAATTATACAAAGCTCCTTTTGGAATATCTAAGCACAAAAAAAACTAATGAAAATATTTAATATACATACGATACAAGGTGTACAAGATTCGATGGCAGGTATAGAAATATGCTAATAGAATAGACTTAGAGCATCTCAAAGAATAGAATAAAGGAAGACATTTTTCTTTTTTTCTTCGCTCTCTTTCATTCTTTAAAATTCATGAAACTCATAAAACTCAGAAATTCATGAAATTTCTATTATTTGCATTCCTAGTTTAATCATTGCTTATTTCGAGTATCATGTTATATACAAAAATTATTATTTTTAAGTGGTCTGGATACATTATATCGCTCTTCTTTATAAGTATCAATGAATTTCGGACATCCTTTATGTTTTTATTACGGATGTCTGTTATGTTTTAACAAAGAGAGAAAAACAATATGGTCAGTTAATAAAGTTGATATCAACGTCGATATCTACATATATATATGTATATACATATATATATGTACATATTCAGACTGTTTCCGAAACTATAATACTAAAATGTAGTTTATTGCAATAACCGCAAAAAGAAGATAAATGAAGTTTATCGGTATATTGGCATGCGACGTAGGTCCGAAAAATTATGGTTGGCATAATATATTGCAAGCGTTAACGTTTTTACTTTAGTTAATTTGGAGCGATTTTTTCTATAGAGCAATTGCAATAAGTACTGGAGTCCCACAATCAACTGTCTTTGATATTATGAACAAATTTTTAGAAAAATAAATTCACTAAAATATTTTTGCGAAGTGCTAGTGCGAAATGCAAATGAATAGTACTAGTACGATACGTTCGGAAAAATATATAGTTTACAATACAGAGTACAAACATATGCATCCATTATATGCATCAAACAAACGGTTTTGAGCTAGCAAAAATTAATGTAAAATATATATGTATGTTTAATACATGGTGATAAATATGTACATATGTATATGTATATATACTATGTGTATAATACCATAAAATGCATATGTACGCAACAAACTATAGTAAAGTAATTAAATTATAGCTTTAACAAAAAATATGTAAATACATACGTTATGTAGCTACATATAGATAAGATTGCATTGATCATATTAAATAAATTCAATACCATAGTTAACATTTTCACGTTTTTATATACAGTAAATACAAAATATTTTTAAAATTTACTTTTATCAGCTGTTCCTACTTACATACAGTGTGGGTCTTTATTTTGAAGTACAGTGAAAAAAATTATTTTAATTTTTGGTTCCCTATTATGTACTAGTTACTTTTAGGTTAGCACATTAACAAATTGATTATTAGACTCTTGAAATTTCAAAGAAAAAGCTATGAACTACTAGTTTATAGCTCATTCTATTTGCTACTAATTATTATTTTACAGTGAGTTAGCATTCATATAATAGATTAAAAATCTAAAATCCAAATTAGCCCCAATTTAGGTATCTATAACTTAGTACTATAACTTAGCAATAAATATAAAAAAATACTCACCTGATATGCATTGACTACATATGTACATACATATGGATGTAGTTTGTTGCTTTACCTAAAAAAGAAAGACAAACCATAAATATTTCGAATGAATCTACTTATGTATTAAAAATATTTTAGATTTTTAACAAAATATATGCATACGTATTAATCTAAGTGCATATATCAATAATAAGAATTATATGAATAATAAAAAAGCAATAAAATAAACAGTGTTTTACTTATTTCACAATACTAGAGAGTTTCAAAAGATTATCCACAAAGTTTCTTGATTATATTGAGGATTGATTTAAAATTAAATTTTGATTTAAGTTTCTAAATATATAAGTTAAGATGAACTTAAAAACCTGCAAAACTATTATTCCGTTTATATGGCGGATCAAGAGCTTGACTTGAAATTTTAATCTCCGTATACTTATACTTTACAGACTAAAATAATATTACTTGAAATCAATTTGAGCTTGACACTAGCTGACAAGCAATTTATAATAATTTATCATTTTCAATCTTTCAATCCGCGTACGTGCAGTCTTTTTTAAAATCAAGCTTAATAATTTTATCGGATCGGGCTCTCCCGAAAATTACAAGTTAAGCTGTATTTTTATGCGACCGAAATCATTTATCAACCTGTCAAATTTATTCTACAATAAAGTTATCATTTCACCTTGCAAGAGATTACATGCGAACAACGCTTCAAAATTATTAATAAAAAACAACAAATACTTGTCCATGATCTGTTAATTGGTGGCAAAGAAAATAAATATGACATTTCTAAAATAATTTCTCCATTTTATAAATCCTTTTCTATTTTTTCCCACGAGATACAAAAACAAGGCACAAAATTTTTGACAGTTGTGTGTGGCGTCATAGGACACGAAACATAAATTATATGAAAGTGGTGCTATTACATATTGAAAGAAAAAGTACAAGTATCGTAATCCGATGTTTAGTTAATATTTTTTATTAATTTCGTCTTTAACGTTTTTGTTTAGTATCTGGTTTCATAACATTGCCATTTTTAATGTTGTATTCATACATAGATTTATCTACATTTCATCAAACGGTGAGATACATAATTTTTATTTTTTATTGTAGTTGCCGGAACTTTTCAAAGTAGATACCTATGGTAAAGAATACCTTTCCCGCAATAACCTGTTTTCCCTAGTTGAATATTGGGATATAGCTGATACAATGTACTCTGAAAACCATTTTA